TGGCATGCATGTGCATGTGTGCATGGCTGGGTGCACCCCCAGAGCGGGGCCTGGCTGTGGTGCAGCCTGCCTGTGTGCATGGTCTGGGCCCCTGCAGAGGGCTGGTGGCTGCAGTGGCTCCCAGGGCCCAGGTCAGCAGCAGGTCAGGGCACCCAGCGCAGGGGAGATGCTGCTCTCCCCAGCCTGGGGCTGCTCTCCGACTCGCCCCTGCCCAGACCCCAGGGAAGGGGCACACGTGTCCTGGGTCATGTCAGGGCCACGTGTGTCCTGGCAGCAACCGCCACGGGGCAAGGCACTGGCAAGGCCTCGTCCAGGGCCTGGATACCCCATGCTTGAGCCTGGAGGCAGAGCCAGCCATGAGTGCCAGGGAGAGCAGGGTGCTGCTTTTGGAGACCAGGAGAGTGCAGCTCATTCGGCCCAGTGATGCAGAGGCTCAGTGCCGGGCAGGATGGCTGCTGCGCGTTGCATCCTGCAGGCAGGAGATGGTTGAGCTGCAGACAGCGCCGGCACCAAAGGACCAGAAGAGACCCGAGGTTAGCGGGAGAGGAAGCGGTGGTGGCGGCCTAGGCCGAGGGCTGGGCAGAGCGCAGCAGCAGCAGGAGAGAGCGGGTTTTATAACCAAGCGCATCTGGCGAGAGGACGTATGGCCCGTGACTGCAGCAGCAAGTGGGGCTGGGCTCGGCAGCTGGACCGGCAGCCCCACTGCACGATGCTGCAGGGCGTATCAGGGGCGACCAGCCAGGAGCCCACAACCACCAACCGGGCTTTGGCCGAGCCCAGCCCAGCTCAGCTCAGGGGCGAGGGCAGCAGCGAGCCATGGAAAGCAAGCAGAAAGGGGCTGAAGAGAAGCGCTGGATCTCCATTAGAAGTTACGAGGCCTCGGGGACTGGCAAGGGAAACTAAAGGTATAAGGGAGAACATGCCAGTGGCCAGGGTAGAGGATTACTAGGAGCTTTCAAAGAATATTAAGAGCAAGGGAATAGCACCAAGAGCAGAGGCCTTGACCGGAGATGGTAAGAGTGTCATTAATGATGCAGGAGAGGATGAAGGAGTCAATAAATAACTCACTTCTGCATGGGGAAAGAGGCTGGGTGACATGCTCCTCTCACCCGAGGAGCATGAGGACTCCCGAGTCTGTTAGCAACTAGGGAGATGCTTTGAGAACAGCTACTAAAGACAAAGCTTTTTCAATTAGCGGGCCTGCATGATTTGTCCCCAAGAGTCCTAGAAGAGCTGGCTGAGGATGAAATCCCAGAACGCCAGGAGAGTGCTGGTGCTGGGCTGGCGTTCAGAGGCCGGGGAGATGATGTGATAGCTGCAAGCTGAGCAGCAGCCCCAGCAAACGAGTGGAGCGGCTGATACAGGATTCAGGTAATAAGGAATTAAAGGATAAAATGTAATTAATGCCAGTCAACAGCGTGTTAAGGAAATAGGTTTGTTCAAAACCTGTTTCATTCTCTGAGGCGATTAGGAGCTGGGCTGGTACCTGTGCATGGGTAAGGTGGTGGACTTGCATGAAGCCTTTGCATTGGCAGCACACGCTAATAAAAATATTAGCTCTATACTGTATCAATAGCGCACTCATTAAGTGGATCAAGTGCTGGCTAACCAGCAGCTGCTGGCAGAGCAGCTGCCAGGGGGATCCTCCCAGCGGGGTGAGCCCTGGCAAGAGCGAGCCAGTTAAGGGGAGGTTGTGGCACCCGGGCTTGCGCCACCCTTGGGGATCGGGCCAGGGGCGCGGACAGGAGCAGGGAGGGCACGGCCCCGCAGGCAGCACTGGCGGGACAGGGCTCATGGCCCAAAGGGGAGGCAGAGAACTGGGAGCACGCGTGGCATGGGAACGACGCGGTGGAAAAACCAGGAGGAAACGCGGCCCGACGGGCTCCGCTCTAGCGGCTCCGCGCAGCCGGGCACGTGCAGACACGCAGCAAGGTGCCAGCGTCTAACAGCGCGGCCGACGGGTCCCGGAAGCAGCCGGCCCCTGGCGCCTTTGCCCCGGGGGGCGGGAGAGGCGTCTGCTGGCGCGGTCGGGGGCTCAGCACGGCCCAGACCGAGCGCATCTGAAGCACGGGCCTGGCAGCAGCCCAGGCTGGATGGCCGGACACGCTAGGCCGCAGGCGCTGCACGCACGCCAGCCCCGTCCCCTGCCCCCGGGACCCTCCCGCAGATGTGCCGCATGCACGCGCGCACACGCACGTGGGTGCAGGAGCTGCG